ATCCTTACCCGATGTTATTCCAGTCAACTATCCTGGAGGAGTGCGTGAAGTGATCTCTCTCTCTCTCTGTCTGAATACTAGGCAGGTAATCTACCACAGCCCTTTTAACATTGCTTATTTTGAGGTAGGGTCTCACTTTATGCCTGGACTGACCTGGACTTTGAGCCTCCTGTTTATTCTTCCTTGAGTAGCTGGGATGACATAGCTGAGATGGCAGGTGACCACCACTGCACCCAGTCATTGGTTGAGATGGCTGGCCTCGAAACTCTCCTCCTAACCTCTGCCTCCTCAGTTGCTAGGATTACAGGTTTGAGCCACCATGCCCCTCAACTTTCTCTCTTTTCAAGTAGGCAAGTTTCTTCTTACCCTTGCTATTGATGATTAAATGAAAACAATGCCATGGAATTGGACAGGATGGGATTACATGGCGGTAAAGAATAAGTTGCAAAGTAAATAAAGTGCATTGTTTTCGGGAAGATGAGACCAACTGCTTTCCCCCACAGTGCCCTCTGTATACAGCAGCTCTCCCCAGCTCTGAGGGATAGGTTCAGCCCCACACCTCGGATAATGCCCAACCCTACATTCACTGCTTTTTCCTATACATCCATTCCTGTGATAAGCTTAATTTATAAATTAAGCACACTAAGGGATGAACAACAATAGCTAATAATAAAATGCACTGTTGTAATAATATACTGTAATAAAAGTATGTGAATGTGGTCTATCTCAAAATAGCTTGTCATGCTGAGCTCACTGTTCTTGTGACAATATGAGGTGATAGCATGAGATGGAGTTCAGTGAATGACGTAGCAGTGTGACTTAGCATTAGGCTACTATTGACCTCCTGACACTTGTCACCATGAGGATCATTGAGCCATGACAATGCCAGTTCACTGCAGGTAGTGAAACTGCAGAATGTGAAACTGCAGAGAAGGACCCCTCCTTCTTTTTCTGTACATAAGCAATACATGGTTCTAACCCTTCCTCTCTTCTCTTCTCCATGGCACCTTAAAGTCACAAGGACCCTGAGATCCAGCTCACTGGCTTTCAAACCAGGTTCGAGTTCAGTGCACTGGGAGATAAGGGGAGGCCAGGCTCTAGAGGGCTTCTGGCTCCCTCGCACATCCAGGAAGAGCCTCGCTGTACATTGTAGTTCTGTGTAGGGTTTTGATCAGGAGGGGAAAAAAGGACCACTTAAAAAAGAAACTGACAACTACCCATCTAATGGAATCCAGTCATTGAATTACATTCACAAAGCTGAGACCCAGAAGGTCCCACCCAATTAAGGGCCGGTGCTCCCTCCCCTGTTTTTGCCAGTGTCTAGCCTCCCTTTCCTGGTAGCCATTACTCCATTCACCTTTGACAACCACCTCTCTCTAATCCCACATCCAGCCAGTCCTCAGGTTTCCCTGTTCCTGCCCTCCCTCCAAGCCAAGGGATCTGATTATGAAACAAGCCACTGGAATTCTGATCATCTAAAAGCCCTTGCTGAAGTCAGGCTTCAATTCCAGCAAATACTGTTACCAAGTTTAGGCCATACGGTATATCTTTAGAACAATTACAATTACATTTTCCTAGATGGTAGACCAGATTTTTAAAGGCTTTTTTCTTTTTTAACTCTTTCTGAATATTTGCTAAAAAATCAAATATTACCGGGAACTAGTAATGTATCTTAAAATGAGCTCTCCAGGAGGGTGAGTTCCTAAGTGAATGGATGCTAAATCCCTTTACCTTTTTGGAGCCAGGTTACCTCTAGAGAGAGATTGACTCTAAGACCATCTGATGATATATATTTCAAATGAAAACACTTAAGTACTTATCATAGGAGGAAATCAGAACTTGGTGGCTTTAGAAGTTAGTCTTCTCTTTAATTGAAGTTACAAGCAGAGGTGTCAAATCAAGCCTTTCACCCTCTGGCCTCTGACCTCTGACCTGACTCATCCCTTTCCTCCTCTCCAGAGGTTGGAGGAAACTGAACATTCTAGGCCTGGGTTTTGCTCCTTCTCTTTGGGAAATGAGTTTGCCCCAGGTGAAAGGTATTCACGAAATAGATGGAGAATGAAGTCCCTTGTCAACTCACCAAACAGGCTCAGTAGCTCCAACATCAACAGGGTTAATTTCCCCTCTGTGTATGGAGATTGGCCTTAAGGGGTTTGCCCTTGAGTTCAACTCTCCCTTGGCTTGGCTCAACTCCTCCCAAAACAGGACAGAAAGCATTTATGAAGTTCGTTTCAGAGCACAATAACGGCCTACAAAGTAATGGATGGCATTGTCTTCACCAGAAATTCTAGCTAATTTCTATTGGGGGCATGTTTGTATTTAAGAGATGAGGGGCCCCAACCCTAGGAATGAAAGATCAATTATCAAGAGATGTAGAAGCATTAAATGTGTTTTCTTAACAGTTTTTACTGATTTCTTTCAAGAATTCTGTTCTCTCCAAGAAAAATAGAGACAGAAATTCTAGTATTTATCTTTGTGGATATATATGTCTGTGCAAATGATGTGTGATATTTTATGAGAGGGTGTGAACGTGTGTACAGGACTGAAGTGTGAACTACTGATATGTATATGTAATTGATGTATGTCAGTATCTTACTTATGTGTGTTTCTGGAGCATGAATGCAGTCTAAACAAGAGTAGCTGAGTATTGAAAACCAACCAAAACAGATGTTTTAATGAGTTCTCACATAGTTCAATGAGGGCTCAATTCTCTCCAGATAAAGAAAGGACAGAAAAAAGAAATGGGCTACTCTTTTGGTTAGAAAAATTTGAACAGAAAGCACAAACTAACGGCTGTGGAATATACTATACTTTTTTTTTCCTAATTTTTTTTGTAGGTTAATAATTGTTCCTAGTGTAGATCAGAAATGAAACCTTCCTGAGGAAGTTTCTTTCCTGTCTTCATTGCTGATCTGTGTGCCTGGCCTAATTACTAAACACTTAAGCCTAGGGTTCAGGGAATTGAGGAAAGAAATCCTTCTTTCAAAAGTAATTGGAGAGAAGCTGGGGAGGAGTAGAGAGGGGAGGGAGCGCGTGGATGATGTGGAAAACGGAAGGGTTACTGAACAGGAGCTCAGCTCAAGTTTCCTCTGATGAGTTCCAAGGCAAAAAGTGTGGTTTGGGATGAGACAGTGGCAGGCCTGCAGTTTTCTGCAAATAGCTGGCAGAGAGGCTGGACCCAGTAGAACAATTCTTCTGCTGCTAGCTTCGTTAAAAAAAAAAAAAAAGCCACTGGCAATGTAAGTGCCCACACCTCTGCCTGCTCAGAGGGCCACTCCCAGCCCTGTGTCCACATGCTTGAACCAGAGTCTATGGGCTACCATGTGACTGACCTGCTGGAAGATTCTGGTGCCCAGGGTAGGGGGGAGGGCTGTGGGCGCCTGCGAGGCCTACAGGCATTGGCTGCCTCTGGGTGGGGGGGGGTCGGGCCCATTGTCCTCCAGGACTAGGGAGGGTGCAGGGTCATTAGGTAGAGGATGATGTGGTGCCTGCTAGCCTGAGGAAATGGCTCGCTTTTGTTTTCTCCCCAGTAGGAAAGGGACCCGAAGCCATTAGATTCTGGGCAGTTCAGCACAGCACAGTTGGAGCTCTTGGAGCTGTTGGAAGCTGGATGCCGGAAAGGCTACTTGTGTGGATTTGTATCCCCACCACCATTGTGCAGTGTGCCCATCGTTTATGCATTTAAAGCCTGTCAGGCTGGTAATCTGGAGCGGAGGTCTGGAAGACTGTAATGCCAACAGACGCAGGGAATGGCAAAGTGCACCTGTAGAGTTAAAAATGCATGACCCGGTCCCTCAAAGAGGGAATGCAAGAGAAAGACCCGTCCGGGAGGGTGGCTGCTGAGCTGTAATACATAATTCACGGGCCCACGCTGCTCCATGCAGATGGCGGTATTAAATCATGATTGATGCCTCGCTCATCCCAGGAAGGTCTCCAAGAGCCTTCTGAATATTTCTATGTCTCTTGTTCTCTGTTCTAACTGTGGTATTAAGCAAAGCCCCCTATTTCCCCCCAAGAACCCCTGCTAGGGATTGCAGAACTTCAGTGCCGAATAGATGAGCGACTTCAAATGTCATCGCCACCTTTTCTGCCTTTGAAGGTCATCCCTTCCCTCCTGGCCCACTGAGGCTGTTTACCTCCAGCCAGGCCCTGCGGGAAGGGGCAGCAAGCTCCTACCCTGCCACCTCCTGTCAAGCCACTGGTCCTGGCTGGACAAAGCAGCAGCACACTCTGCTGGTGGTGACCAGGCAGGAGGGACATTAGGCAGAAGGCAGATAGCACAAAGCACCTTTGTCGAAATTCTGAGGTTGAAGCCAGTGAATTCTCCTATAGAGATTTTTCCACTCAGTGTGTAATGAAATAATAAATCAAATTTGCGGTGTGTGTGGAATTAAATGTTTGGGGGTTTTGCTTTTTCTTTCTTAAAAAGAAAGAAAAGAGGAAGCTGAAATCACCCTCCAGGGTCTGTTCTGGCCCAAAGCTGAAAGTGCTTCCTTGTAGTACATGTAATTGTTGCCAGACTTGCTTGTGGGTCGGCACCACAAAACCACAATTGTCAGTTCCCGGAGCCTGACTCCTGGCTGCCTGGGCTGGGAGACACAGAATAAAATGAAGGATTTATGAGATAAAGATAGAGATGGGAGGTTTGGACGAGGAGAAGATAGGCCAAGAAGGGGAGACAAGAAAAAACAGGCAGGCATGTTAAGTGTACAGCCTTCTTGTTTTTATAATCTCAGACCATGTAATTGGGAATATTTATGACCATTTTTTGGACTACTTTGTGTGTGTGTGTGTGTGTGTGTGTGTGTGTGTGTGTGTGTGGTCGGGGGAGGGATGAGCTGAAATAATCTCTTCCACTGTATGAGTAAGTAGGTTAGCCTCCTGGACTGCCATAAAAGGTCTGTAAAATAGTTGTAACTGGCCACTGGAGAGAAGGGAGGCAGGAAAGGGGAAAGGCTGGAACATATCTAATGTTCTCCTGGTCTTGCTTTCTCTTCCAGACCCACCCTGTGGAGGTCGCCTGAATTCCAAAGATGCTGGCTACATCACCTCCCCTGGCTACCCCCAGGACTATCCCTCCCACCAGAACTGCGAGTGGGTTGTCTACGCCCCTGAACCCAACCAGAAGATTGTCCTCAACTTCAACCCTCACTTCGAGATTGAGAAGCATGATTGCAAGTAAGCACTGCCCTGCTGCACATGGGGCTCACTCCACCTTGCCCAGCCACCACCCTGCACCCTGTCCCTGCTGTCATCGGAGGATAGCAGTGGAGCCTGGCTGCAAGGGGAGACCTCAAGGCCATATTCTCTTTCAGGGGAAGTGAGGTAGAGTCGATGCCACCATGCCACTGTATGGGGACAGAGCCTCGTGGAGTGAGCTTCTGTCTCCGGAAGCTGGTAGTGGGGAGAATTTCCATGTGAGGCAAGAGTGGTCTAATAATCCACCTCTTGACTCTGGGATTTACCTCCCCTTGGAGAGCATCCTATTTTTACTGCTGCCTTAATTAAAAAGTAGCCAGATCCCCAAGTGAAGACTCCAGTGCCTCTAGCCACAGGATCGGCTGTTGGTTTGTGACATGGCAGCTGGTTGCCTCAAAGAAAGAGAGAGTAAGCCATTCTGAGTCTCTGAGGGCCTAAGATTCATTGATCCTTGATCTCTGAATTACACAGGTTAGAGTCTCAAAGCTGTTGTTATAGATTTACTTAACCAATGTGATTCTGATTGCTTTACTGATATTAATACATTCATTCTCACAATGGCCCTGGGAAGTTGGGGCATGATGACTTCCATTACTGATGCACTGAGAGGTGAAGTCAGTCACCTAGGGTGACTCAGCCTGTCTTACGACATGACATCAGTTTGGCCACCTTGGAAACGTGGCTTAGGTAATACCAAGAGGACATTTTGATACTTGTGAGCACTTTAGAAATTCCATGTTGATACTGAGGTCCCTGTAAGTTAGGGTGAGGAAGCAGCCCTCATTGTAATGTCAAGAGTGCAGATGTGTGTGAAGTCTCATGAGTTCTATCTTAAGTGCTTTCCTCGTTGACAAAAAAGTGAAAGTTTTCTGTGCAGAAAAGAATGTGCCAATGCTTGTGTTCTGCTCCAAATGAGCACTCAATGTACGTAAGTGTTCAGGGCTCCCACCTGATTAAAGCCTGACTATTCTTGTGACCAAGGCATTGTTAATAAAGGGCCAGCTATAAGGCAGCAGGTGACACTCATAGGCCTTGGTGCAGACTTGTGTTTCCTCATGGAGGAAACAAGACCTCTCCTTTCACTGCACTAGGCCGTGAAACCCAGTGATGAGGCCATTATTTTCCTCCTAGGAGCACTTTGCACCTACAGAATGGTTTCCCCCTAACAAGAGGTAGTCTCTGTTAAAAACCAAAGGGTTTCCCCAGGTGGATACCCCATGTGGCAAAGAGTCATAAGACAGAGTTTCTAATCCCAGGGCCTCACTTGGCTGAATGATGACATCCGGGACACAGCAGTTCCCCTTTGTCTCAGTTACATGCACACCCTGGACACTTTGGCTTCCGCTTTCCTGACAGTGAACTTTAACAAGAACTTCAGTTAGCTTTGCTTTTTTTAAAAGGCATTTGGGGTTCTGGTGCCTCTGGCTGTGTTGTGGAAGGTTGGCATAGACTTAAGCATAATGCACAGAGCCCTGGGTCTGAGCTCAGAGAAATTTGACTAAGCACCTCTCTGGATTGACGGCCAAATTCGGTTATGCTGATGCCAGAGAATCTCGAGGGGAAATCACTAAGAGCTCATTTTATGGATATTCATAGTGGCAGAGGGAAAAGGCCTCGTGTTTTGGAAGGAAAAACTCGGGTACTAGTAAGCACAGCTTCAAACATGTTTAGAAGTAGGGAAAAGCCAGAGAACACGCTCCTGCCCTGCTTTGGGCTGTGGGGCACCCTTGCCCCCGACAGGACCTAGCTCCAGGGGTGGGGAGAACTTCACCTTTGCAGGGTTGGAGTGGAGGAAGCAGGCAGGTAACAGGCTATCTCCTGTCTTCTCAGCCCTCTAAGTAACTTCCTGTTTTCTTCCCTGCTCCTCATCCATCCTTCTGGCTTCAAGCTAAAAGGTCAGGAAGGTCAGGAAAAAATCTTCCTGGAGTCTGTTTTCCCCAGCTCCAGATTGTCAGAAGAGCTCCAGTGGAGCTAAGCCTCAGCTACTCAGTCTTGTCCTTAATTCTCCTTCGTCCCCACCCTCCATTTCTCCTCCACTCCTCATTTCTTCTTCTCTTGTAACTTATATTTAGAAGGACACATCTGGTCCCTCAGCCTGTCACTCTTCAAGGTATTTTTGACATTTTCTCCTGGTCGTTTACATTCAGTATAAATGGAATTCTGTCTCCCCACTGCCTTGTTTGACTTTCTTGCAAAAGGAACACTTACTCTAATTGAAATCCTGGAAGTTCTGTCTTGTCCCTGCTCTGTTTCTCTCTCTTTCTCTTCCACACTTCATTTTTATTCCAAGAGAGCTCCTGGGTTTGCAAAGCACTTGCTATCTAAAGAAATCAGCCTCCTTTCGCCTTTCATTTTAGGGACAAGTTTCAAATTGGATTTGGCTCTCAAGGCCTATAAGTCGGATACTTCCCAAAAGAAAATTCTCTAAACTGTCCTTCTAATGGTAGCATGAAGTAGAAAGCTAGTGTTTCAAAGCACCCTAGCAGGAAGGGGAAATGAGGAAGAAAGGCAGGAAAAAGCCAGCCCAGCATGCTTGTGCCCCATGTTTTCTCTTCTTTCTGTGCACAAGATGAATTGCAAAGAGTGCTCCCTGACCTGGGACTGGGGCCCTGGCAGGAAGGATTATCCTGAGATGTGGTCCTCGGCTCTCTGTACCTTGAAATCTCCATCCTAAAGGTCAAGGCTGTTGCTGAGCAAACCCCAGGCAGATCTTTCCCCTAAACTGCCACTTGCTCGTTTTGTTCCACGGAAGCTTGATGTCTGCTTGGAAAAATCTACTCACAGTCAGCTTTGCCTGAGTCAGTGTAATCCAAGGCCACCAGCCCCGGTGAGCTTGACTCTTCCCTTGGCCATGCATGGAACAACCCCGAGCACCCACAGGCTGTCCTGGGGCCTGTGTAGCAGCTGCCGGGCAGAAACCAAGGCTGCCGTGGCATTGCCAGGTTCCTGTGCTGAGGGACAAAAGGACAAGACTTGGGGCTGTCTGGGCAAACAGAGAGAAGCCACTTTGTCCCCCGAGATAGAGGATGCTAGGAAGCTGCTGCCTCTGCAGGCAGAAGCCTTTCGCTTGAGTCATCAGCCAGCGGGTTGAATGTTATGGTTTAGAAACACACACACACACACACCACACACACACACACAAACCTGAGTGTTTTTCCATTTCTAAAATTTGAAATACATGTATAAAAAAACAAAAAAAAACAAACCACTCACCAGCATATCATACTCAGCTGATTCATGAGTCCTCAAACAGACATGGCAGCCCCTCCCATCCTAGAGACCCAACTAACCAGAGCCAAAATCAAGAGACTGGGTCCTTTTAAGATTTGGTCATTTCCAGATGAGTATCTTGAAAACATTTTCAGAAAGTTCAAAAGCCACTAGGAAGACTTGAAAGAACGTATTTTAGGCTAAAGACCTCACAAGGAAGTGTACACTAGTGATTTTATATGTTATGTTCAGTGCAAACTATCACACGTACCTCAGTGATCTAGGCAGGGACACATCGCCCTGCCATGTGAAAGTTTCAGACACTAGAACACACCCCTTTAGCATTCCAAAACTTTAAAGCTCCGAAGGGTGTCAGGGTTGACCTCAGGGCCTCGACCTTGCTAGGCAAGTGCTCTGCCACTTGACCGCACCCTTAGTCCCTTTGCTTTCAGTTTGTTTTTCAGATAGGGTCTTGCACTTTTGTCCGGGCTAGCCTGGACTGCGATTCTCTTACTTCTGCCTCCAGAATAGCTGGGGTTATAGGCAAATACCACCATGCCCAGTCAAAAGCTCAAAAGCTTTCTGGTAAAAAAAAATTCTAAATCGTGCTTCCCTTCCATGTCCCAAACAACTTAAGGGGAGTCAACCTTTTTCTTGATAATTCAAGACTCTAATTCTAAACTTCATTTTTGTGTGTGAAACAGAGGCTGAGTAATGCCATACTTGGATCAGTTTAGATTTGAATTTTTGATGACCTTTTAAACTGCCTAGTCCTCAGTTTCTCCTTCTGTAAAACCGCAATAACAAGTACTTTGCAAGAATGCTATGCCTCAGTTATGTAGCTGTACAATAAGTTAGTGACTAGGTTAGCATCTTTGGACTTAGTCATGGGAAAGTTTGAGACAGTTTTCTACCAGTATGCTTGCTGTCACTTCCTGTTATGAGCGGACCTGCCTCCTACAGCCTCCCTCTTGTGACTTGTTTTTACTTTTTGCATGCATCAATTTCCCTTCATGAAGTCTTGCTTGAGTACTAGGAGCCACACTTCGCCCTAAACCAGTCCAATCTCAAAGCCAACATTTCTAGTTTACTTCAGTCAGCCAAGGTCACAGCAGAGTAAGACTGGGAAGCCACCCCAAGAGACAAAATGTGTAAGAGAAACAGCGCATGGAGTTCTCAGCACTTGTTTATATGTTCATAATCCTTTCTTCTGATCTCCCCACCCCCACATTCTGGATATTTAATGTTTTGAATATTTGACCTCTGAGGGTCCTAGATGTTACATACTGTCCTTATGTTTATTTACAGCAGAGGGACCTTCAGAATCTTAGAAAATATGTCTATTTCTCCCACAGTAGCAGGGTTGCTTATATAGGAGATTTCTATAAATTTCCTTCTATATTTCTATAGTAGGAGATTTCTTATATCTTAAGAAAGGTAGCAGCTTCCCAGGTTGATAAGTTGACCACAGTAAACAGAGGAAAGAGACCAGACCTTAATAATCTAGCTCTTCCTCACCCAGCCATCGACATTTCCCTATGCTCTGTAAGCACCCTCCATTCCCAATAAGCAAATACAGTCTTACACCTACGAGCAAAACACACACACACACACACACACACACACACACACGCACACAGGTCCTGCTGCTCAGCCTCTCCTTTCCCTCTGCTCCCTCCAGCTACAGGCTCCTCAAGTCCTCTCCTGGGCTCTTACTTCTTCCAGTTCTCCCTCAATGAGCACCTAAATTTGCTTGTTTTTGTTCATAAGTGGTCCTTAGATTCTGAGCATCTAAGTTCTCCGAGGGCACAGGCCACCTATTTCGTTTCTAAGCTCTTTCACCATCCCTGGTG